GTACTATAAAAATTAATTTTGAAAGTATGAAATCAGGCCATTATAGTGAAAATAAATTTATGGATAAAATAATACTAAAGTTAAAAATTGCTCATAGAAGGAAATACCATATCCTGGCATCATAGTCAGATGTAGATATAATTTTAACTCTTAAGTTTTCTAAAAACAGAAAGGAAACATGACAAAAACTCACAGGGTCCAAAGGGGAAGGACTGGAAGGCTGAGAAAGGTGGTGCAGAAATTAAATGTAGATATATCTAAAACTCCCACAAAGATTTTCTGAAATACCAGAAGACTCCTACTATGAACCTTAACCTTGCATGTCAGTAAAATGCAGGGTATATGACCTTCCTCCAGGAATTGGGAATCCGTATTGAGTTCATACAGCTCATTCAATAACCAATCCCTGACCACAGAGCCAAAGGTAATGGGGAAAAACAAAAAATCTCCATAACTTAAGTTCTTTTTATGTTTGCTAAAATATCACTAAACTGAGTCTGCACCTAACATGTTTCCCTTAGAGGATGTTAGCATGAGAAACTGGGACTTACACTTTTTTAAGAAAGGACCTGTATTGAAGAATATAAAACAAAATAGGATTATATCGTATGTAAGGAATAATCATTTTCTTTTAACAAAGGGTTAAAACCTTTCAGTGATCATGCAGTGTGGAATTATTCCCAGGAAATTAATGCAAGTTCAGACTGAAAATTCTCAAAGCCCATCAGTCAGAGCAGAACTTAAGCAATTTTGAGTGAAGAATAATGTTACTTATTTGTTTAAACTGAGTATTTCACCAGTTAATAGTTATGATAGTCAACAAAGTTTTTCCATGATAAGAAGGTAAACTTTAATTTCTATTTAGCAAGGTGGAAGAAATTTTAAACAGAAGAGATGTATGGTAATTTATTAGAACATAAAAAACTGCGAAGACTTGAGGAAATAGTTGTACTTAGAGAATTACAAGTAGTTGAAATTATCCTTGATTTGTAGAATGTAGTGCTTTTTTTGTTGTTGATTTTTTGTTTGTTTGTTTGTTTTTTAAGGTAGTGTTAATAGGGTGGGTTGATCCAGTTAAAAAACCTTGTTTATCATGTAAGAGAGTTTGGAATTCAAATGAGGAATCTCTGAAAATATTTTAAGTTTGAAAGGGACGTAATCAGATTTGCATTTTTGAAATATGACTTTAGAAATAATTTGGATTTTGTTAAGGTTGTTCAACAAGGATTCTACTGTAACAATCCTAGAGAAAATGTGTGAGGGAGGTATATGAAGCAATTACAGCCGGGCTCAAGAAAAGGAGTACTATAGACATTAGAATAATCTGCCTAACGATTAATTTAATATTCAAGAGGAGAAATCAAAGATGATCCTTGGGTTCCTGGCTTGAGAAATAATTATCAAGGTACTGGTCACTAAGATAAGGCACACAGAGGGAGAAAGTCCCCATTGGGACTTAGAAAAATTATGGGAATGATGAGAGCATTCCCAGGTTCTGTACTGAAACCACTTAGGTTCAAATGCTGTATTACCACTTATTAGCCATGTGACACTCGGTAACTTACTAAAACTCTTGTTTTCCAGATTCCTCATATATAAAATGGGGATAATTACAATATTAACCTCATGAGGTCATTGTGAAAATTAAATAAATTAATATTGTTGTTGTTGTTGTTGTTTGCTGTCGAGTCGGCCCGACTCATAGCGACCCCTCCTTGGGTTTCCGAGGCAGTATCACTACGGAAGTAGGATTGCCCAACCTTCCTTCCGAGAATAACAGCAATCTCTTCATAATAGCTATTAAACTATCTCATACATTCTCATAACCTGACACCAACAACCTTGATTCCAGCAAACTTTAACTCCACTGTAGTCCACAATGTATGGTCCCTAATATCCATTACTACACCTCACTCTTCATGCTCTTACTTACTTTGTTCTCTAGCTTAAGATCCATGGCCAACCATTAAAATCATTACCTTGTATCACATAAACTCTCAACCCCTTACCTATTCTCTTTTTCAATCATATTTGGCCAAAGCCCAGTATTGACCTATGCCTATTGCATTCCTGGAACTGAAATGTAACTAGAGAAATATAACTGAAACTTGGTAGAGAAATATACTCATTCAGTTTACTGGCTTTGCTCTAACTTTATGATCATTGACTAGCATTGACTCCTCAGTACCCCCCTGGATACAACATTTCCCTCGTTCACTCAGCTTTCACTTTCCTAGGTGACTTTTTCATATCACTTACCAATCCTCAAACTTCTCATACCTCATATAAGCTCTTCACTCTCAAGTAATGAACTGACTTGCTTTTTGTCTGAGAAAATAGAAGTGTCATTTTTATTCCTATTTTTGTCCACTTAACACAGCAGTTAGATTATTTATTTTAAAAATATAAATTAGACTATTCCCTTGTTTGGTTAATCTCTTCTGATGGCTTCTTACTTCCTAAACTAAAATCTAATGGTCTTAATGTTACCTAAATTGCCCTATACATTATGAACCCTATAGTATCTTTGATCCTCTCTTCAGCTGTTTTTCCCCCTTTTCACTCAGGTCCAACTACTGACCTCTGTGATGCCCTTTAGATATGTTAGTTTTCTACCATCTCAGAGTCCATGACTTTCTGACTCATCTGTCCATGAAGTTCTGCTCCCAGATAGCCACATGGTTACTCCCTCATATCCCTCAACTCTTCACTCAATGATCTCCTCAGTGAACTCTTTCTCGACCATGTGATTTTATAATTGCATTCCAGGATTTATTCTCTTCTTTCCCTCTTTTACTTTTTTTTTTTTCCCAATGAGTTTATAATTAAAATAAAGATAGTATTTTAATACAGCAAAATACTAATTATTTACTTATTTATATTATTTGTTATCTATTTCTCCCCACTGGAATATAAAGACTATGAAGGCAAATACTTGTTTTTGCTTTTCATTAGTATTTCCCAACTTAAAATAGAGTATATGGCAGACAATAAATATTTGCTGAAGGAATTAATTAATATGTTTAACATAGTACCATAGTGAATCTATATGCTTAATAAATATTTATTATCATTACTGTATTAATAATAATGTATTAGGCATGATGCATTTGAAACAACATGGAAACTCCAGGTTCTAGTTCAATGGGTCTGGAATTCAAAGTAAGATGAGCTGGATATAAATTAACATGGTAAATGTAATCATTGAAATAAAGTCTTGCTGGAAAGAATATTAAGAGTTGAAAGATGTAACATGTGAGGCTAGAACACAAGGATGCACCAACCTGAAGGCTGACTTTGTGAAACCTAGGAAGATACTAAGAGGAAATATTCAGAGAAATACAAGAAGAACTAGGAAAATATGATATAATGGACATCAATGAAGGGTATTATTTTTAAAAGATGAAGTGGTCAATAGTGTCGAACAGAGTACATAGTAGGAAGGCAATACTAAAATAGCAAGTGTTTAGAGTAAATCATGATAAAAACTGTAGGAAAATTCATTTATTGAAAACAAATCCTCAGAATCAAAACCATTACAAGATTGCAATGAAGGAGGTTTTAAGATTTTAGAAGACAAAAATAGTCACATAACATACTTTATCATTGACTCTGTCAAAGAATGGAGGGATAAAGTAAGAAAAGGGATACCTCTCTTATTTGATTTATATGGCCAGAGGCCGACATAGTGGGTTAAGGAAGGCATTCTCAGCCCCATTGAATGGAAAAGGGTTACACAAGCAGTTGGATAGTGAATAGATTTCTTCTTAGACTTAAAGGACAGGTCAAGGAAGCGTATAAGGCAGGAAAATGACTGTATGGTTAAACAGGAACAAAAGTAACATAAAAATTCTGGACATCCTTGCTTTTGAAGATATCATTATAAAAATAAAAATGACACCATGTTAATCTAAAATGTGAAGTAGTTTAATGTGGCTTTCATTATTTTTAATGAATCTTATTTACTACAGAATGTGTAAGAAATTTTATATATGGAAAGAAAACTTAGATTTTGTTACTGCTGTTCTCAGGAATATGAAGCTATTTTATTTGTTGTGTTTTTGTAGTTTGAGACCATGAAGAGTTTTTGTTCTTTTTTTTAATAATTTGTTAAATAAAGGCATTTTATTATCTATTTTACAGATAATTACAAAATGAATCATAAGTGGGTGCAAATTGAGTAATTTGATTAATTTCTAGGTTGACCTTTAGAAAAGTATTTGTCTAACATTTCTTAGTTTTTTTTTTTTTTTTTTTGTATCATGCTGAAGTTCCAGTCATTTAATTTTCATGTTGTTTTTAAAAATGAGAAGTGCCTTATGGATATAAAATAAGCTTATTTTTTAAAAGAGCTAGTTCACTTTAGAAACAATTTGAATTTTCTAATATAATATGAATGCTGTCTTTAAAATACCTGCCTCTCTTTCTAGTTTGCAATTTCAGGGTTACCATACTTATGTGTTATCCACTTCTATTGAATTAAGTAATTATTTTGCAGGTAGTTAAATTTATTGTTCACTCATAAAAAATAAAATACACTGAGTAGCAGTGCATAGCTTTCTTCTAGGTTTGTGTCATAATTCTAGGCAGCCTTTGACCTAGATGAGAGACTTCAACATTACAGATATATAATGTGCATCCCCAGCAAAATTGCCTATAAGAATAACTTCATTATTCTGGGAAGCTAGATCTATAAAATATGTAAAATGTGGAAGTGTTCTGCCTACACAATTTCTGGTAAGTACAGCATGACTAAGTGATAAAACCTGAGTCAGCTTCAGTTAGAGCACACCTTACTAAAAAGTTTATTATGATATGGAGGAAAAAAGAAACACAGTAAAAAAAAACGAGTTCTTCCTCTAAGTAAAGAAGTAGTTTGATCTGTAGAGTTATGCCTTGATTAATGAAAAATTAGCTGTCTGGAAGCATTTAGTGGTATAGTGTACCTGTTAGTCATAGTAACGCAGAGTTATAACAGAATGATGAGAGGAAAAACTCACCAATACCACTGGACAGATTGTGGTGGGTGGTAAAATGTGGTCCTTCAAAGGTCCACAGTCGCATTCAGGTTTTAGATGAGAAGCACATTTATTATGCAACTATAAAAGGGAAAAGGGAGACAATATTAAAGTCTGCATGACAACAGCAAACAGGGTGCAAATTATACTTCAACTGAGAAACAGTAAATACATTAAAAGTGCATTAAAAGAATTACAAGAACAAATAAATAGGATCATAGAGGGATTCACATTACATTTGCCCTTATATATCTACTTTAAATAAACCATTCAGCAATTTCCTTGACCCAGCCTATATAGTTTCCTACTCTCAGAAATATTTATGTTAAAAACATACTTTAGGTTTTATATCAAAGAGGTATGATTTCTTTTATAAACAGAAATAATTGTCCATCACAGTTTCTTCTTTGCTTATGTGCTATTGGCATAATCTTGAAACAACTGTGCACTGTGGATGCTTTTTTTTTTTCTTTTTTTTTTTGACCCTCCTGTTTTCTCAAAGTCGTTCCAAAGTGCACAGCTCAGTATGGGGCATAATTGATCCCATCATTAGTTTTAACTTCGTAATTCAATATGTAAATGTAACCAGAGATTCATCTCAGTAGGAACAGGATATAAATATAAAATGATGATTATGATTATAAAAGTTTATCTTTATATTGTATTATCAGCTCTACATTAAGTGTATAATTATAAATAATGTGTTATTTATTTTTCATCATATATAAATTGAAGCTGATATTTTTATCAATTTAGGTCACAAGTTTAAATTAAAGCATTACAATGTGGTACATTAAATAATGATGTTTTTTAAAATGAAATGGTACTTTCTACTGGAATCACACAGATTTGATAAAATAATACTCTGTTTAAAGGCATCTGGGGATACTTCCCTCCCTCACTTCATATTAATTTAAATCTGAAAAATTCATACTTAAAAAAAACACAAACTTTCACATTTTATCTTCTTCAAAACAAAAGCATCACACCGTTTTTCAATGTTGGACAAAATGCCGCCCCTTTTAAATGATGGCTATATTAATTTCCACAACAAACTTACCTTTGCAATCAGTTAATTAGTAACCAAAAGTAGGAATATAATGAATGTTGATTTACTACGGGTGATAGACCGGTATCGAAGAAGTAATTCTGTGGTTCTAGAAGCTAAAACATTTATCATGCTAATTTCCTACCTTCATTGTAAAACCTTGGAGTTAAGGCTACTTGTAGTATAATTAATGTTCATTAAGCCACATTAAATGAAATAAAAGTATCTGTACAAATTCTCCATAATTGGCAGCTCTGCATCTCAAGGGCATGTAAACATCTCTTTTTTTAAAAAAAAGGCTTAAAATTCTTATTAGGCACTGCTGATGTTTGACAAGAGACATGAGGTGTTGAAGAACAAAGAAGTAGTTGAAGCTGCATGTACAACAGAACTAAATAAAATGACACTGTGATTTGAAAATTGAAATGTATAACTTCCTCAAAATAAAATTAGCAACTGTTTTAAAATGTAATATTAGTTTATTTAACTTAATAATACATTTTCCTAAAGTAAATCATGGTCCTGCATATTTGGATTTAAAGGTAATGGATTACAAAGCACCATGAAAACAGAACCAAATCAAAAGACAGATTATGTATCACAAGTCTCCTCTGTAGCATGATCATCCAGAAAAAAATCCTTTTACTCCTGGATCATGTACAACTGTCTAAAAACTGATCCTACAGACTCTCAGGTCCCTCTACCAATAGCAAGATTCAAAACAAAAATCCTTGTGTGTACAAAGTGAGAAAGCCCTGAATTTTTACTCTTGACTACAGTGGACAGACCACACATGAGTCTGAATAACAGAGGGGCAGGGCACTCTGCGTCTCATGCCAGCATTGACCATATTGATACATAGGCTGATGGCTTCACACCCCTCTGTACTTCCCTCCCATGTGCTCCTACAATCTCCAGCGATATGGTAAGGGATGATCAACTGCATCAGAGCAATTTGGAGGGTACTAGGTGTAAGAAGAGATTGCAAAAATAAAAAGAATTTAATGACAGCTTTCTGGCATTCAGACTGGATTCCTTGACTGAAGGAAAGAACTGAAGACTCAGGATGATACAGTTGACGACACGATTGGGCGTGGGGAGCCTTAATCCTTCACATTTGAGTTTCAGAGCTTCATAATATAGGTACTGGCAAATGGTCTTCTGAAATATTGGCCACTGCAAGCTAAAGACACCATTGGATTTTATATTTGATAGCTCTCAATTTTATATTTGATAAGCATATGGAAAAGCCTATAAGAATGTTGATAACCATATAACCAGGAAAACGAGGTCTCACAGTGCAAGAAAAGCCTCCTAACTAAAATGTTTACATTTACTAATAATGATGCACCATGGAAAAAGAATTGTTTTCCTGGTAATGAACTGAAACTTGGAAATAATTTCAGAGCTATTGAAAAATTCCAGTAGTATCTAATTTAAGAGCCGGATCTATGTTTGTTGGAAAAAGTTATCTCAAGTTAGCAAGAAAAAGTGTGTGTGTGTGTGTGTGTGTGTGTGTGAAGCTGAGAAAAGAATGAGTGTGCTGCATGGAGAGGAAACAAGTGCAATCTGAACAGTTAAAAGGAGGAACAACAGAATAAAAATTTTCACATGGATTTAGAGAAAAAGGAGAATTATTATCCTACGGGAATTTAGGTAATATGATTGGGAAGAACACATTGGTCAGTTTCCCTAATATTTCTCTAATATTTTGCAAATTTCAGGTTGTTCCCTAAAGCTAGAATTTGTTAAAATATAAACTTTCTATGTCACTGAAAATGTTTAAACAACAAATTGCTTAAACTTTTCATATTTTAATAGGAGTGACACTATGTGATACCAAATGTTAATATTTAATAGCCATAGGGAGAGATTGTTTTTTGTCAAGCCCAAGTAAAATGTATTAACCTCTCACCCTGGTAACTGCTGCCTGACAAGGGACATTTTATTATGATCAGGAGTAATAGTCACAACATGCTTTAAATAAAAAGTCAAGGAAGAAAGAATTACAGCATAAATGAACAGGTGTAAGTAATAGCACCTTAATTATAGTAGAATATAAGCAAGAGAGAGAAGAGGGAGCCAAGAGAAAATAGATGTTAGAAGATAGTTTTATATTATTCTTAGAATTTTCTGGTTTTTATTTTTTAAGTGGTTAGATTTACAAGAGATAAAACTCATTTCTACTAACCTAATTTTGTATCTACAATATAGCAAACTAGTGTAATATCAAAATGTCATGAGTACTAACTAAACAAAGAGTGTGAAATAGATTTTATCTTTATGTACTTGTTTAAGTGTACTTGCTTGTCTGATGTAGGCTCAAGTATCCCAGTATGATTTTTTCAAACAAAATTTAAATAGGATTTGCACTTAAAATTCAGTATTTAACAGTGCACTGCTAAAAGAACTAACAAATCTGTCCTGGAAGAAGTGCAGCCAGAATGCTCCTTGGAGGTGAGAATGGCCAGACTTCATCTCACCTACTTTGGTCATGTTGCAAGAACAGATCATTCCCTGGAGAAGTCTATTATGCTTGGTCAAGTGGAAGGTCAATGAAAGAGGGGAAGGCCCTCAACAAGATGGACTGATACAGTAGCTACAAAGATGGGCTCAGGATTAGCAGGGATTGTGGAGCTGGCACAGGACTGGGCAGTTTTTCACTCTGCTGTACATAGGATCACTATGAGTCAGAGAAGACTTGACGACACCTAACAACAACAGTTGTTGAGTGCTTCCTCTAAACTCAGTACTCCATTAAGAACTTTGGGAGATTAGAAGAAAAAATACCTATCATGGACCTGGAACTGGAGTAGACTATTCTCTACCATTGTAGACAGCATTAGGTTTGTGTGTGTGTTTGCGTGTGTGTGTAATAAAGGTACAGAAATTATTCAGAGAAATGAAAAGTCAAGGAAACTTTACTGAAAATATGAAACTTACTTTGGTAAGTTAGATGAAGATATGAAACTTACTTTTGGTAAGATAGAATTTAAGGAGGTGTCATTCAAAAGAAGATGGTGAACAAAATAACAGGAAGGGGTGAACATGCCCTCCCTAGGGAGTGCTAAGAGATGTGCAGCCTCAGCAGAGGGTGCACACAGTGGAGAATATCATATATAGTCTTTTGCTCGGGTTCAGGTCTGATTTCTGAGGAACTGAAAACCAGGTGGAAATGGGGGGGGGTAAGGTCTGCATTTATTATCACAGAACTATTATAGGTTGCTGAGGGAGGCATATGATAACAAACTAGTATTTTGAGAAGATCATTCTGGAGGTGGTGTGCAGTCTGCATTATAGGAAAAGTACCTTCTGCTAGGGAACTAAGCCAAGAGTTTCTGACTCTAATCTAGTCAAGAGGTGCTAATAGCTTGCACTAGGTCTGTGAACGTGGAGGCAAAGACTAAATTCTGAGAGAGCTATTTTAAGAAGAAAATGTCAAAGCTCAGTAATGGGTTGAATATGTGGGACAAAGGTGAAAGACAAGAGCAAATGAAATTGACTTTTAACTCTATTTCCAATGACTGTAAGCATGAAGACACCATGTCTGATGAAAAAGAGAGTTGGAATAATTGCTCTTTGTCAATGTAGATCAATTATTTTCATCTAGGATGCTGTGAGATTGAGGACCACTTGATTCTGGATGCTTTTAGAAACTCAGGACCAGGATGCCATGCTGCTCCTACTTAGACTGGGAAATTACAGATTCTTCCAGAAAAAAACAAAACAAAACAAACTTCCATTGAGTCAATTTCAACTCATAGCAACCCAGTAGGCTTCTGAGCCAGTAAATCTTTATGGAGGTAGATTACCTCGTCTTCCTTTTACGGAGTGGCTGGTGAGTTTGAACCGCCAGCCCTCTGGTTAGCAGGTAAATGCCTTGGGCAGTGTGCCACCAGAGCCCCCTGATTCTTCCAGAGTTGAGTGATAAGGCATAAGCAGTATTCATCGATTGTCCTCTGCATGCATGCTAGGACTGGATGATGGAAATCTATATGGTATTTCACATAATTATCACTATGATAATAATTGTTATTTACTGAGCATTTATTATGTGGATACTCAACTCTAAACACATCTATGTGGATTATTTACTCATCAAAACTTCATAATAAGTCTATAAGATAGAGATCATTAACTCCATTTTGCAAGCTAGTAAACTGGCAAAATTGGCTACATACCTGGACTAGATTAACACAACTAATAAACAACCATCTTAAGAATTAGACGGTATGACTAAAAATTCAAATAAGTTTCAAAAGTAATATATACCAAACCAAACTCATTGCCATCCAGTTGATTCCAACCCATAGCAACCACCTTTGGGTTTCCAAAGGGGTAAATCTTTACGGAAGTAGGTTGCCTAGTCTTCCTTCCACGGAGTGCCTGGTATGTTTAAACTGCCAACTTTTTGGTTAGCAAGCAAATGCCTTAGGCACTATAAAAACCTCACTGCTGTCAAGTCAGTTCTGACTCATAGCGATCCCCCCTTGGGATTCCAAGGCAGTATCTCTACATAAGTAGATTGCCCAGTCTTCCTTCCAAGGTGTGACTGATGGGTTTGAACTGCCAGCCTTCTGGTTAGCAGTCAAATGCCTTAAGTACTATGCCACCAGAGCTCCTAAAGTAATATATAGGAAGAAGTGATTTTTTTTTTTTTTTTTTTTTGTTTTTGTTTGTTTTTTTTACCCGTTTAAAAACAAAGACCCTTTTTTTTTTTTTTTTTTTTTTTTGGTTTTGCTTTGTGTTTAAACCTGTAAAGAAACCAAGCTCCTTTCTTCTTGTTTCTGTCTGCAAACTATTCTTCACACAATCCATGTAGGAAAGCCTTCCTAAAGAACAAACTTAAGAGTGTCACACCCCATTACTCTCAAAGCTTCTGTTAACTATTCACTATATTAATGAGTCGGGTCCGACTCAACGGCACATAACAACAACAACAACAACAATATTAATAGCACTTTCATGGAAATACAAAGACAAAAGGCAGATTCTGTTTCTTAAAGGTAGGAAATAGTAGACAGTAAGTAGTCATCAGCCAAGAAAATACCAACTTCATACTAAATTTTTTATAGAATGGCTCAAGAAGAACCTATACATTATATTTACAAGTGTAATTTTTCTGAAATAAATGTATTGTTTAATTTGGGAAGAAAAAGCAATAAAGTGATAAATTTGTTCCTATAACTGTTTTAAATTAAAAATCCAAAAGCACACGGAGGCTAAAATTACTTATAAGAGGCAAGACATTCTTCCAGATACATGAAAACTTTTTTTTTTTTAATTGTGAAAGTCTGGTTTCATAAACCACATATTCATGAAAACCCTGGAACTCATTGAAAACAAAAAACAAAAGACCCACAGGCATCAAGTTGATTTTGACTCATAGCAACACCTATTGGGCTTCCCAGGTTGTAAGTCTTTACAGAAGTAGATTGCATCATCTTCTTCCCACAGAGCAGCTGGTGGGTATGAACTGCCAACTTTCTGGTAGCAGCCAAATGCCTTACCCACTACAGGACCAGAATTCTTTTTACATCAAATAAAGCTCAGGACTTGGAAGAGCATGGTGTTAGGTAGTCATTTTTTGTTGTCTTTTTTCCTGATTCTACCATAAATCCTTCATGAATCCCAGATTAGTCTTGTCTTCACAGTTTATGTTGTGTTGTGACATAGAATCATATTTGTGTACCCTAATAAGAACAAAATACCACAGACATATGGTCTGGCCTGATCTGGACAGTTGAAATCCTTGGATTTTCAACAGTAGGCTCATTCGGAGGTAGCAGGCTCTTCCCTATAAAAGAGGGAGACTGGTCTCTCTCAAAGTGCAGGGAATCATCAAGACAAAAGATGAATGTTGACAGCTTAGTGGTTGCTCTAGAAATGTAGATTTTGGAGTCACAGATAAGAGACCATCCAAGGAAGACATAAACAGTCAAAGCAAAAGAAAGAGCCAAGAAAACAAAATGGAAGGTAAAATGAGGATGGAAAGAATATTAAGATGCCTTTTCGTACTAATAAAAAACTGCTGTTGTTGTTATGTGCCATGGAGTCAGACCCGACTCACAGTATAAGCAATAAATGACAGTGATCCCATAGAATGAAAAGAGCAGAAGACATATTTTTATGGAGATTAAATAAGAAAAGGAGAAGAGGAGTTTAGCAGAAGAAATTCTAAGTTCTAAAGTGTGATGCAGTATTAGGACAGGCAGCAATACCATATTTGAAAAGGTTCAAGCTAAGTATGTATTTACAATGAATTAATATTTTTCCAGAAATAAAAAATATTAAATGATAAACCTACGAGTATTATATTTGAAGTCTATCAAGAACAGGAAAGTGACTTAAAATATAAGGAGGAAATAAATTCTGTATTAATATAATTTAATTTCAGTTTATGTGAAAGTTAAAGTATAGCTATTGAAAAATGCACTGAATGGGAAAAATAATAACAATAAAAAAAAAAAAAGTTTCCTACAAGATCTAGTTTTGTAGATGCTAAGCAAAAGAAAATCTAGTATTTTTTAAATGTGCATGAGTTTCAAAAATGAGATATTTTGGTCTTGTTAGAACTGAGAACTTCATATGTTTGAGCATTTTGTATGCATAATTTTAATCACTTTAGACATTTCATTATTATAAGCAAACATTTCAAAAAATAAGGCTGTTTTTCATAATTAAAAAAATTTCCAATGTAAATATAATTTAACCAAGTAATAGCTGCAAATGAGTAAAGAAAATGTGTTCACTTTTAAAAAAGTACTTAAATATGTCTTTGAAATGCAAGTCACAGTTTGTTTTTCTCATTATCCTCTGTATGTGCATGTGGGTGTGTGTGTGCATGTGTGTGTTAAAGAAAAAAAGGCTTAAACTCTGTGGTGTTTTGGGGATACTACAGAGAAACTTCTGAATTTGCCTAACTGATTCAGTGTTCCCTAACGTTTTATTTTGACAGCAAGAACTACTCCTCCTTTAAGGGGAAGACTCAAGTGTTAGGTAGAAAAAATAAACCAAACAAAAACTGTGATCCTATAAAGGTTTCTGAAGTATAGTATTAAAAGAAGCTATCCTGGAAAATGTGCATCCTAAGTATTTTCTAGAAATTAAACATGCAGCACTAGCGGGACCATCTAATAACTATTCCAGAAGTTAACAACTTTCCCAGGATAGACAAGTTTCTCTCTTCTTTCTTACTTATCGATGCCATTAATTACTAGGGTTTACGTCTGCATCTCTTATCTCACAGTTCATGTTTTACCTGATGAAGCAGGGTAGCAACATGTTAAGGAGGAGGGTAAATGAGTCCTGAGAAGCATTGGAACCTAAGATGTAGACCCCATTTTCATCTCTACCTAATCACACGGTCAAGGAACATTTGCTTAATTCCATTTGCCAATCGTGCCATTAAATCTTTGGACCACATTGTTCAGTCTTCTAACCTTTTAAAGCTGACAAATATTGTACTCAAAATAAATCAACAATATGTAAAGAGAAAACTCTACCAAAAAGATGTTGTAAGGTGGAGGCAGATTTATAACCAACCACTTCCCATCTCCCTCCCATGGCCTGCCCCTAGCTGTGGGCTCTGAATATCTTCCCAGTAACTTCTAGAGCTGAATGGAGCACAGTTGGAAAACATGTAATGGGATCATATCTAAAGTTGTCACCAGCTCTAAAATTCTTGATTCTGTGAGACCTGATTGGCTCCTGTCCCTTTGAAACCAGATGAAATAAGAAGCCTCCATGTTTTCATGCTGTCATAGTGTAAAATTCTGAAAGGCCTTCTTGTAAAGGGATCTCAGAGTATATGAGAAATACAGTCTTCAATGTGAGTGAATGCTTTGGACTTTTTTTCCCCAATGTTACTCACTGTGATCTGACACCAAACGCAATGTAGTCCTGTCAGGCCCTGGTAACATTTAACCGTTTTGTGGCACTTGTCACATTTGGTTGGGCAATTGCCTTCAACCCAATAATGGTGCATAACCTAGAACAGACAATAGCAAAGTGGTAAGAGAAGGCATCTCTGCACCACCGTCAGAAAGCAATCAGGGCTATAAACTTACATCAGTGTTTTTCTTGGACTTCACATAGGTCTTGATACAAGAGGGAGGTGCTCTAGCTACACAGCGTTCGTGGACTGTATACTTGCAAACTGAAAGGAAACATGTACACAAATTCAGAGCTAATCCTCATCCTGATTGCAATTTTATAGGGAAGGAATGACATTAACAGAACCTCATTTCATATCCACTGCTCCCTAATCAATCCAATCAGCCACATCAAGGAAAAGTCCAAGTCGACTGTTTTTACCATGGAATACAAAAGGCCAATTAGCACAGGAAATATTATGCATGTGAAAAACCAAGACTCCTCTATCATGGCATAGCAGGAAGTACTTAATTAAATCAGTCCTCACTCAAATTTTTCACAATAATTCCCAGATGACAAAAATATTAAAGACAAATTGATGACTGCCAAATGGCTTGGTGTCATTTGCTAGAAGGAAGAGATCTATATTTTACAAAGTATAGGCATGAGAGCAGCTGGCAGGCATGGGAATAAAAGCCCATGAGTATATGCTATTTTGTCTATTGATTTATCTAAACCTTAACTGGCTGATTAGTCTATTTCCAGAGAATAGATATTGTCATGCATCCCAGGCCCCAGTAAATGTTCAGCCCTCACTGGCCATGGTGGTGCTGCTTCTCTAACAGGAGCAACATCTTCCAGGCAACATGTGGCACACACAGGAAAACCTGCGAAAGCCAGAACCTGTGGAAGGTGGAAGGCTGTCAGAGAAGGAAAGTGGAAACCTTTCCCGTAAGATGAGGGAAGGAAAAGAGAGAAAAGTGGGAAGACTGTACCCTGTCAAAGGCAGAAAATTTGCAAGACCCAAAAAAGCAAGGCAGTCCTGTGGAGTTCCGGCTCTCACAAGTTTCACTGTATCTGTGAAAATTTCTATTTATAGGTAAATATGCATATATGCACATATGCAAGCATATATATGTATATATGTGTGTGTATATATATATAAAGCCTGTCATAAAACTAAAATATGTACTTTTTTGGCATACTCATATTATTTTATGGCTTGATTCTGAATATAACTTAGGGTCATTTATGGATGCTTGTTTACTAAAATATTGATCCCAAATTCAGACTGTTAAATATAAAGGATTAAAAAAAATTAAAACAAAGAAACAAAAAAGAATAGGTAGCCCTCTCAATAAAGCAGAAACAGAAATCAATCATTCCATGAAATTAGTATGAAAAATTTTACATCCATATTAAAATGGTAAAACTCTTCCAAATACTCATATTTATAATTTCCTTTAGTTATACAGATGAATAAAACATACTTTTTCATCTTATCTATATTGGCAATGATGTTAAGAGTATTGCTTTTACCACAAGAATGAGCTAAAATATGTAAGCAAAATTCTCATTTTCTAAACCACAGCAGATAGCCATTGTATTTGAGAGTTATAATTTTCCTTCATATGAGCCTATCAATACAATTTACCATAGAATACTCCCTTCTCCAAAAAAAAAAAAAAAAAAGAAAAGAAAGTATTTACTGTTCAGGTATACAAGAAGAATGTTATCACCTAACTTTTCTTTCAAATATGTCCACCTGAAACTGGCATACAGCGTAGCACACATACCTTTATGAAAATATTTAAAAACATTTAAGAAATTAAATGCATGCGTGGCTAAAACATGACTTACAATGCCAAATTACACATATAAGAAAACTAAATTCTAAAATCTTCTATCAAATAAGGTACGAGGTAAAAGAACAAAAACAACAGTAGCAGTAAAAACAACAATAACTCCAGAAATTGTGTATTATATGCAAGTAAATAAGAATTTAGAGATATACATACAAATGGGAAGTATTGTAACAAAGTTGACAGTATCAGTAACTTCCTAATATAGTAGAAAATGGTATGAGTGAAAGTACTGGATTAATGGACAACACTACATTTAAAAAGATACACTATCCTGTTTTAGCAGAGTTACCAGGGAATGCAAAAGTTCCATAGGCACCCATGCTATAGATTTAAAAACATTGAGGTGACTTTTATAAATGAATTGGCAGTATTTGATTAATACAATAAAATGAAAATTGCTATGAGAATTCTACTAAAATTACAATAATAGCCACAACTATTGACAATAGCAAAAATTGTCAATGCTTTGGATTTTAATATCCATTAACTGTATGTGAAGATTTTCTTTGTTATGGCATAAAAAAAAAAAAAAAAACACCGTGCCTGACGAGTAACATTAGTTTATATTCCTCATGATTTTTTTAATTTGAATGCAAACCTACTTTTAATCAATTAATTTGCATTTTTTAGAAAGACATGAAGGAATTGGCTCATTACAAGAAGTCTATGTGAATAAAAGGGTGAAGTTACAAAAAAAGAAAGACAAATATCAGTAAGATATAAATATGAGAAATTAATGGAAATGTTCATGAGGATCCCAGAATAGATGGCAATCATGAATAAAGTAAAGTACAGTGCAAACACTATGGTTGAAGAATAGGAAAATGTTCTCAGCTGTCTTTCAAAAGGAGGATTTCCCCAAACTTTAGAATGTTAAAAGCAGGGTGACATAACCATCCAGAAACATACTACAGGGAAACATTAATCACAGTAACAGGGGAGGGTCAGGATTACTTCTTCAGGTTCTATCTATAAATGGAACTACTCCGAGAAATCACCCCTTTCTCACTCAGCGTGGTGACGTCCAGACAGAGCAAACATACTCACAGGAGCAGCACAGGCCCTGCTTCCCCACGCCAATCAGCATGTTCAGGCAGAGATTGCAGTAGGCAGGCTTGTTAAAGTGCTTGAGTCGCCACACATGTTGCCCGTCATCCTTCACGTTCTGCACGGGACGTAAGAGAAACAGATTTTACTTAATGAAATAAACAGTGGAATATGTAAGTGCCAATAAATTTCAAAACTGGACTGAAGCATTTGAAGACAATCTGTTATTTCATCTCTGACTTTCTCCAAGATCGCCACAGAGTCTTTAGAAAAACACATGTACACTAGTGGGATTAGACACTGCTAACAAATCTAGGATGCTATAATAACCCACACATTCTAGTCTAATGTCATCAGTTCTAAAACATATCTCAGACCATCATAATGACTGGTCACAAGGAAGATTCCCTAAGAACAGGGACATGAGTGTCTCGCCTTTGAATACGTTACCCTTAGCACAATCCCACAAACAAATAAAGAAAAGGAAAATGCTCCAAAGTGGAAGAGCTTGAGAAATGAAAATTTAAATGTTAACCCTTACTGAATTATAAAACCTAAAATTTCAAGTGTCACTTTGACATATATAAGCCTCACAGGACCTCAGTGTTCTAACTATGTATGTATTAAGCTCCTCTGACTAGACAGTCTCCCCCATCCCTGACAGAAATCTAACTTCAGTGTCCTACTAGGCCATGGAATTATTCAAACCAACCAACAACATTGTCCTGCAAGAACGAGGGCACTTCACCCTCTGGCTACTGCAAAGCCTTCCCCATTCCCCCCCCGCCCCAGCCCCTTCTAGTTCACTCTATTCTCAAGGACAATTTCCATAAGACCCAGCATGCTAGGTAGTGCCATCCTCCTTTGAGGCTGTGGGTATATTTGGCTAATAATCTGCTGTTAATATCATCTGTCCAGTGTTGGGTGTCCTGTGTTCAGCCATCTCATTCATATTATTTAGGGCACTGGATCCTTCTAGGAGGTGGTTAGAACACTTATGCAATACTAGTAACATGTAAAATTCAAGGTGGTGTTTAGATCTTGAAAAGAGGTAGAAAGGTGGGATGGGATGGAAAAGAGCAATACTTACAAATTAGTTATTGGTAATATTATATAGGTTTTCATTAGAGACTTTGTTAAACATTATAACTTACCTTAATATATTTTTGTATGTATCCAATAGTACATTCAAAAGATTAATTTTTTTAAGGACCTCCATACACTACCATTTGTTTACCACTCTTTCATAAGATACAAATGACTTTAATCTGATAGGAAAGTAATAAAACCATTAAAATAGTATTACTATTGTTATTTGCCACAGGATAACCCTGAGTTTAAGTTATTTCACTTATTCTCCTAGGTAAAGCTGAATTTCTCCCTGTTTATCAAGCAAAAGCAATTACTGTATTTTTTTTTTCCTGAAATTATCTTTTCAAAGATATTTAAATAATGAATAGCCTTAGACAATGGAGATGTGTTTCCCTCCAGAACACAGGGTAAGTTTACTTACTACCCAGTATAATATCATTATAGTTACTTCTATAATTGATGTTTAACCATAGCTGCATATTCAAGACTAAAATAAAGAGAATATTATGCTTATGAATCTCTTGAATAACTTATAGGAGTAAAATATTAAATTAAATTAAATCATCCCTCTTGTTATCATTTTCTCCATTACAATGTAGTCCTTGTATGCCATTCACCAAACTATATCACACCAAGGTCAATTTCAGACATTACCTCTTGGTATTCAATTGAAAATATCATGGATGATAATTTTTCAGGTTGTCATATTTCATAGAATTCATGTATTTAGTAATTTTTAGAGCACCTACTATGTGCTGGGGCACTACTAGTAATTTTTTAGTAGTGGGGCAATGAAAACATGTCCCAATCATCTTGTTTTCTTGATAATGAAGTATTAATAATAATGCTTCTAAACCACATTTTCCTATTCCCAGTCAAGAGGCAAACCACCGGCTTTGTATTATCAAAGAAAAATCTACAGTAACTAGTCCTTATATTAGCAACAGAAATGTCAAATTTGTGTCATACAATTAAACATTAATGAAAACGCTTCCTAGGAGATAATTCTCCATGGGTCTCTTGAATTTCTCCCTGTTTACCAAGCAAAAGCAATTATTGTATTTTTTCCCCCCCGAAATTATCTTTTCAAAGATGTTTAAATAATGAATAGCCTTGGACAATGAAGATGTGTCTCCCTCCAGAGCACAGAGTAAGTTTACTTACTACCCAGTATAATAAAGAAAATTTCTCCTTTTAAGACAAAGATTAAGCAAGTTTATTTACTACACATTATAAAAGATTCAGTTTTCTTAAGCTAGGAGTTCCTCAGCTGTGATGTGAGCTGTGATTCTGTGAGCATCATTTACCTAGGTCTCTCTGACTGACTTGGGGGACAAACTTACAACTCATGCTACTTGCTTTGCCAGGAATGATAAGGTCCTTTGTCTCTGACTCAGGAGTCCCCTGGCTTCTGCCAGCCTCCATAAAACTGTGGCAAATGAACTCATTAGCTTGCAAGTAAGAAAAAGCTCAGATTTTCTTTTATGGTAACAGCCTAACTCTCAACAAAAGTAATTATGTAGAAGGTATCATGTGGAAGTCTTAAGAAAACATAGATGTTTCAGTTTTCTCTCAAAAGTTAAGAAATACACTTTGTCATAATTCTGAATTTAATTCTGGCTTGCTTGAGTCCTAAGATTTCCAGTATCTTTATAATGTAAACAAAATAATTAATTATTTGTTTACTTTGCTACATTTCCACCTCTCTTTCTCTCTCCTTCTCTCTCTCTCTCTCTCTCTGTCTCTCTCTCTCTCTCTATATATATATATATGTATATATAATTATATGATGATGTATTCCTTTAAATAAGAATAAAACAATGTGAAAAGTGTAAGTAATGGAGTATTTAATTTTTCTTAAATACATTAATAAACAAACTTTAAAAGTAGCAGTTAAACGCTTAAAAAATCTTTCAAGTGAAAAGGAGGAAGAAAAAAAATCCCATTTTCATATGTATTCCTGTTTTTATAATCCTTGTCTTTTTATTTTTAAATGATTGTCCATTACATGTGAATAAGCCTCATCCTGTTGAAGAGTCCATATGGACCAAGTTAGCTGGCATTTTCCTTATCAAAAAATAAACAAGTCTGAGCGTGGGTGTTCTGTCAATCAGAACACTTAGCCATGTTACAGGCTGCAACTGATGTACAAATCCATTACCCAGACATAAAATGCTTTATCCAAAAAAAAAAAACAAATTAAATCGCTTTATAGCTCTTAACCGGATACATTGCCAAAATACGCAAGGGATGAAATATGTATATGACTGTTTCAAGAGAAGACATTGAAACCAGGAGCCAGCTACTTCTCAGCAGTGCAAATTATACTCCAGCTCCCTGTGTTTTCATGTCTTGTCTTGTTTGTCTTGTTTAGATTCTAAACTTAGTGGAGGAGGGGGAGAATCTGTCCCTTACTATATTCAATCAGCCACTACAGCATGTCTCTGTTAGTACTTCTGTTGCAAATAAATATTTATTGTCATAGAAAGCAATTTATTTTTGTAAAAAAGAAACAAAACAGAAATCCAGAAGACTTGATTCCTGGCCTACTATGAAAAAGAGGCTGAACCATTTCACCTCTCTTATTTTCCTCTCTAATAAAACGAAAGTACCCACTTTCCTTTCCCAGGACATGGTGTGAGGTTTCATTATACAATACCTGTGAAGTTAATTTAGCTCCTCAGGAATGGTGTTATATAAACAGCAAATATTATTACCATCATTGGATCGAGTTGTGTAACATCCCAATGTTCCAGTCAAACAATGGAGAGGGGTAGGTGGAGGCCTATTCTGTGTTATTTCATACAAATTTTGCCCTCATGTTTGTTTATTTGTATTTTCTATTACCAGGCATTGTTCTTAGAAGAAATGTATCCTGATATTTAGAATATGTAGTGTATTTTTTTAATGAACAGTTCAGTTTTGTGTTATAACAGAAATGCTTAATGAAACCTATAGGTGAGTTCACACACAAGAAGAGCTCCAGGTGCCCCTTCTCCTCTCAATCCCCTCAAAGTCAAAGGCATCTTCAAACACAAGCATGTTCTTTGGTGCTTTCTGAAACCTATCTTATTATCTCAGTGATTCTTAAAGCTTCAGTTTTGCCCTAAATACATCCAAGATTACATATAATGTGCAAATTAACTAGGGCTACTATAAATAGTATTGCTTTTTTTGGTTGTTGTGTTCTTGTTAAATGTGTTCTTGTTAAATTTGATTTATTTTGTTGTTGAGAATATACGTAGCAAAACATACACCAATTTAACCATGTCTACATACACAATTTAGTGACATTGCTTACAGTCTTTGGGTTTACAACCATTCTCACCTTCTTTTTCTGAGTGGTTCCTCTGCCATTAACATAAATTCACTGCCCTGTAAGGCCTTTATTTAATCTTTCAGGTTGCTGTTGTCAATTTGATCTCCTATAGACAGTCATTGAAAAAGAATAATGTTCTAGGAAAATATTTCTTACTAGTTAAGCTAAACTATTGTTTGGTTTAAGAAGACTTCAGGGGATATTTTTGGCTTAAGATTTAAAGCTTATCTTAGGGTAATAGTTTCAGGCATTAATCCAATCTTCATGGCTCCAGAAAGGCTGGAGTCCATAGAAATTTGAAATTCTGTTCTGCATTTTCTCCTTTTTGATCAGAATTCTTCTACAAAATCTTTGATCATAATGTTCAGTAATGGTAGCTGGGCACTGTCCAGTTCTTGTGGTCTGATAGCAAAGGAGGCAATTGTTCATGGATGCAATTAGCCACACATTCCATTTCCTCCTCGGATTCCTAACTCTCCTTCTTCCTCTGTTGCTCCAGGCAAATAGAGATCAATTGTGTAGTGGCATGGCCACTTGCAAGTCTTTAAGAACCTAGGAACTGCACAAGAAGCTAGGAGATAGAACAGAAGCACTAAAAACGTTATTAGACCCATTAACTGGGATATCCCATGAAACCATGGCTTTAACCTCCAAACCAAGGCACTAAATCCCATGATGTGTTTGAGTGTACATAGCAATTTCAGAAG